CACCATGAAACTGTATCTCAGTAAGATTATACTCTGAAGACTATACTACAAAGAAATGTAAAATGTCAGTTATTTCTATTTTGAGCTAATTTTATCTCATTTGAAAGTGTATTGTAAAGCTTATACTTGTTATTTCAGTATATAATTTATTCCCTTATTTGTGAACAAAATTATTCAAATATGAAAAGAGAAATATTTAAAACTCTTGCTCTGTTCTAAAATACTTTAAAATAGGGGAGGGTGGAGGAGGTTAAGGGAGGGCAGGGGAATGGGGAAAAACTGAGAACTGTCATGTAAAGGTACAAGACCCCAATGATGAATGTAACTGTACTGTACACTTAAGAAGTACCAATAAACTCAATAAAATTAGGGCCAGGGGTTTAGCTCAGTGGTTCGCTGCCTGCCTTGTAAACACAAGGTCCTGGGTTTGATCCCCGGTACCCACCCCCCACCAAAACCTCATTAAAAAAATAAAAAGACTTTAAAAATAACGAATCTCTTAATTTATGGTATTTTCATTACTATGAGTAATTACAATAAAATTAATGATCAAAACTCTGTAAGCTCACTGACATGCTCCCCTCACTATAACACAAGCACGCGTGTGGATGCACATACACACACACATACACACACACACACACACACACTTGATCTATTTGGTTGGCAAGAATTTGTCTGCTAGTCTAGTATGGCCAAGAGATAACTGGTGCTTAGAGCTTCTCTTCTAGTGTTATCCATGACTTATCAGGCCCAGAAAAATAGAACAGTTCAATTTAAAAAAACGAAACAGGAACCATAACCTCCCAGCATTAAAGAAACAGCAAGAGCCAGGCCTGGTGGTATATACCTATAAACCCAGCACTTGGAAGGCTGAGGCAGGAAGACAGCCAGGGGTTCGGGCCAGCATGGGTCACATAGTGAGTTCATGGCCAGATGGGATTACAGAGTAAAATTCTGTCTTAAAAAAAAAAAAAAAAAAAAGTGGCAAAACTACTGGCCAAATCTCTGGAGAACTTAGACACTTATTATGGAAATGACATAATATTTAAATTATCCACTGTTTATCAAACTATCTTCAAATTAATTTTCTCAAAATACATTGCAAACATTAAGGAAGTCTCTCAAGTAAGGGAAGAATCAAGTCTATTTCAGATAAGAAAAGTAAAGTAGTTTGGGCTGGTGGTGCATTCCTGTAGTCACAAGCACTCTGGAGGCTGAGGCAGGAGGATCATCAGGAGTTCCAGGCCAGGCTAGGCTGGACTACAGACTGAGACCAAAACAAAAACAAGAGAAAGAAAAAGAAGTAAGTAAGAGCTATTAGCAAAAGGAGTCTGAAGGGCCAGGACTTAGCTCAGTGGTGTAGAGCCTGCCTCTCAAGTGCAAGGTCCTGAGTTCAATCCAATGCATCAAAGGAAAAAAAAAAGGCGGCGGGGTGGGGGGGTCAGAAAAGACCTGAATTCTGGCGTTGCTGACTCTCTCAATATTGTCCTTAGGCTTCACATAAAGAAACTAGCAAACAGGAGTATCCTCATAATGAGAGCTGTGTTGACAATATTTTTGAAGCACTGTGTGTATTTTTGAAATAAACCTGGGTGGAAAGATTACTGGCCTTCATCAGAGTTAAGACCAGTGTTCCTAGCATAGTTCCATCACCCACTAGTTAAATGAGCCTAAAGAAGTCACTCGATTTCTTTAAATTCCAGTTTCCTCATCTAACACTATAGCAAATCTTATAACATTGTGAAGATGTAAGATACACAGATACTTGGATGCCAGCTTGCTTCCTTCCCCCAAATCTTACCTTTTTACATCCATTGAGATACATAGGGGTGTGTGTGTGTGTGTGTGTGTGTGTATTTGTTATAATTATTTGACTAATTAAAAAAAATCAGGATACTAACTTAATACTTGGCTGAATTAAGAAATGGCCTAATTCTTTAATAACTTCCAAATTAGTAATGGTTTAAAGTTGTTACTAAGCTTTCAAATTAATTTCTGTCCATTCTTACTGATATAAGCAAAAACTTCACAAGAATAAAAAACAAAAGAAAAGCTTTCCCAGAAAGATGCCACATTTCTTAAAGTTCAAGGGAAGTGCATGTCTCAACAAAAGGTGTTAATATACTATTTCAAAACTAAGCATGCAGCACTCTCTTAGTATTTTTTTTTTCTTCTCAGAAAATAGATCAATGGCACCTGCAAAACTTGGAAAACATACAAATTAATCTCCTAGGGTAAGGAAGGCCACCAGATAGCAGTGCATGGTGGCAGACACCTGTAATACAAACTACACCTGAGGCTGGTGCAGAAGGATTTCAAGCTCAAGGACAGCCTGGGCAACTTAGGGAGACTCTACCTCAAAATAAAGAAAAATGTTTGAGGATATAGTTTAGCAAGCCCTAGGTTCAACCTCCTGTGCTACCAAAATAAATAAATAAACCGAGCAGATCCTTTCAACAGCTTACAAGAACTCTTCCAATACTGATTAAACGAAAGTGAAAGTGACCTTACCATAGACTGGGTGCCTCTGACCACATTTCAGAGTAATTTAGAAACCCCATCTCCGTGAAGTTAAATAACACACCCATTTCTAACCAAGTTTGGCAGATTAAAAAGTTAACTCTTTTTTAAACACTAAAAAATGGCTTCTTTTGAAAGAAGACAAATGGCAGCATCATGGAAGTCTCAAGACAGCTGTGATACATAGGCTACAATGAAAAGCCCCGTACGCCTTTGAAGCAAAGCATCACAGCTTTTTACTAGCATTACATTTATGCACTGCAAGGAGTCCCTAGCATCTTTTTGCCCCCAAAATATGACACACAAGAATAAAATGTTTTGCCCAAGGTCATGAAGCAGGTGATGGCAGTCCGACTCTCAACTACTTAGATGAGTTTCATTGGCAGCATGCACAATCACGGGATATATTGAAAATAAAAGTCAGATTTTTAAAAAGGGGGTAAGGAGTGGTGGTATCGAATTTCCACTGAATGATTTCGCTAAGAAAATCTGATATTTTACTCTGCAGATACAGCATATTTTAACTCGCTGACCTTTGAAATCACGCATACATAGTGCATTAAAACGACAGTCATCAAGACCGAAGGCGCTGGCAAACACAATCTTATTTTACCAATATCACCCTCTGGTTATTCTTCATCTCTGCTTCACCGATTCTCTGAACCACCCCTCACACTGTCCAAGGCAGCAGAGTAAAAGCCACTGGGTGCCTGCCAATAGCCTGGCACAGAACACAGCTTCCAGGGTGCCCCAGATCCTTGCTAGTGAGCAGTCCTCTCCCTGGGAGCCATCCATTCTCCTCCATCCCAACTTTAGGAAAAACACTCCTTCCCCTGCAGTGCTGCTAAGTGTGCCCCTAGCCAATGGACACACCCCTCCCAGCGCTGCCCCTTCAAAATGACATTCCCACTCCACTCCCTCCTTTGCCAGGTATGTCTTCCCCTCTCATTAAGAGCCATCGCCCACCTCTGCGCAGAGAGGGGCCTTCAGCAGACAAAATACTGCCTCCCCTAATTTGATGGACAGCTCCGCTCCCCTCACCACGGCTCAGCTCCCACCTCAAGTCCCTGGCAGGGGTGGGGTGCTGGGTACCTTCGGCCCAATAGTCTGGGCTTGCGGGTGGCTGGTTCCGGTCACCACCCCACCCCAGGGACAGCTCTGTTCTCCTTGCGGGCCATCCCTGCCATCGGTGCTGCCGGACACCCTCGCCGGGGCCCTTCGGCCGCAGCCCCGCG